TTCTCAGCAAGCCTCTCGCACAAAATAATCTAGATGCAGAAAACTAAAGCACAAGAGATCCCTTGCCCTCTATACAACGTGGGAAGCTCCTCTGAAGGCACTTTTAATGCACATTATTACTAGAGTAAGCCACAGCAGGCAGTTCCTCATTTCTCACTGAAGTATGCAGGAGCAGAGGGCAATTGGCACAGAGAGGTTGGGAAGAGGCATTCAGTGCCTTGGAAGTTCTTCCCCTCTTTGCACGATATTCCCACTCACAGGGGGGCAGGCATTACCTGCCCTCTGGCTCAGCCCCCATCCTGAGCATTGCAACAGGAGGACAGGAGAATTACGCACAGAAGTGTCCTGTAAAGTGGAAATAAAGAAAAGAACAGGTACAGTGAAAGGAAGAGAGGAAACCCCAGAAATATTAAGGAAAAAACCACATAAAAGGAAAACCTAGAGACAGCAAGAGTTTGGCTTCTATCTATGAATGAAAAAAAAAAAAAGAAAAAGGAAGAAACAGTTTCATTTTGTCTTAAAATGCAACACTCAATGTGCTGGAGACCCATCTGTGCAGGCAGCTCCACCAGTATTGTTTCCCTCTCATTCTCAGGAGACTCAGTAACGCTCTTCAATAATTTTGATTCACGCCCATAAATGATAGCCCACAGCACCCACTGCATGGAAATGATTGTGTTTATTTGCTAATCTTCTGAGGGTAAAATTGAATTAAAGCCAAGAACGACTGTGGCAGTTTCTAGCCACATGCTGTTCAAACAACAGGACACAAGCTTCCTTAGATGTATTTCTGAAACAGGCATTGGAGACCCCAGAACAAGAGGTATTAAAACCCAGACCCTGTAGTTTACCTGCCCTTATTTCTCAACCCAGCGTCTCCATAAATTAGCTTGGTGTTTCCTCTCTAACCCTGGGATACCAAGCAGTGCCTCCCCACCAACGGGACTGCACTCTCATTGCTCTCAACCACTTCCATCCTTAGGTAACAAGCAATAAAAATTTCAAACAGTATCAGGGTACCTGGTGCAAAGAGGAGCTGATGCGATGCCGGCTCCCAGCCCAGCTCTGCTGTACATCGCTGCAGAGGCAGAACTGGCAACCAGGGCTTTGCAGAGCTGGTCCTGCCACCCCAGGAGCCCCACTTTCAGATAAATGGACCTACTGGCTTCTTCCCTTCCTCCCCATGCTAAATAACATCACTGCAAAGCCCTCGCTGGTAGCAGGGATGCAGCTACTGAGACATGCCCCTGGCCAAACCGCCCCCGCCCAGGGTATGGCAGAGTGCTGAGCTCAGCTGAGGAGCTGCAGCTGCTCATTACAACGTTCAAATAAATGCAAACAGAAACAAAAACACATTCACAAGGTAAACAGCAACACAGTGGAGCATAGCAGAACCTAGCAGCACACAAAAATGCATTACAGCCACTCTACTTCCTATTTCCTTTTCCTTACAGCGCTGAAAATAATAGCTATAAAGGTCAGGGGTTTTGGGGACAGTTGCTTGTAATCAGGCAGCTCAGACCATTTCTGCTGCGGGGCCAGCTGAGCACACTCAGGTCCTGAGCCCCCATCCTTTCCAGCCTGATCCTTCCTACCTGGGTCAGCACCAGGGTGCAAAGCACCGCAGCACAGAAGCCGGTTTATGAGGAACTTTGGTGACAGCAATACCTGGCAGTGGGGCACGGGGATGCTCGGGGTGGGGAGGGACCAGCTTGGTGATGCAGTGTTGGGCTGTCGGAGCCCAAAGGCACCTTGGGTCTGAATCTGCTCCTTTCTGGTAGCACCTGACGAAGGGTGTCTTGGAAACAAGCAAATTCTTATGCAATTTTTATGTTGAAGCAGTACCAAGGCTCCTGGCCAAAATCAGCATTGAATTGCACAGATAGGAGCTATGTTCAGTCTAACAGCCTGGGGGAGAGAAAGGACAAGCACCACAGGAGCAAGAATTAATACCCAGACCCCGCACAGTTGTTGCACCACCAGAACTGCTTTCCTCCCCTTCCTCACTACTGTGCTCTCCAATCCCAAAATGGCAGCACCATCCACAGTGAAAAATGAGGCCCCTTGGGCACTGTGGTAGAACCAGCACTAATTGAAGACCCCAAAGGGTACAAATGTGCAGAAGCAGCGATACAGCGATGAGATGATGGTAGCGTGACTGCAGGTATTGCTTGGCCAACTCCAGTCTGTTTCACTGCAAGTGTCTGAGTAATCTCCTAATGGTCTGAGACTCAGGAATTTTACAGGGTATTTGAGATACAAGGTAGTATCAGTTTGAATTTAATATTAAAGGACAGGGAAGCGGCACAAGGTCTGATGGAAGAGAAAGCTGGCAGAAGGGTCTAGCTAAAAGGAAGAGGGGGGGGAAAGTCAGGTGTAGGCAAGAGGTGAGGAGGACAGAGATTATTTCCATGGCCAGAGCCCTGCAGATAGCGTGGTGTGAATATCTTAACTCTGGCTTGCATGGCTAGTCATCATAAACGAGGGGAAAACGATTGTAGAAAGGATGATAAATGCCCATTTGAAAACACAATGCAATAGGAATATCAAAGATTTAATTTCAAATAACTGAAATATGGCTTGGTCCAAGGCTTAGAAATCTTTGGCAAGCAACTGGTGAAAAGGGCCTGAAGCCGACGAAAGCAGCAGTATTAGGAAATGGGAACTGAAGCAACATCTACTGATGGGAAAAGAGAAGTGGCCAGAATATTTCTCAGCTGGTTTCACATCCAGCCACCTCCTTTCACGCACAATCACTCCTGCTTTATCATGAGTGGGAAAGTGGGAAGTCCGTGCCAGACCCCAGGTTGCCAAGGGCACCAGGGTGCCGACGGAAACACACCATCGTGTGGGGACCGCTTCTCGGGGCGCTTCTTATTTAAGATATCATTTTCCCTCTTGTGTAAGAACTGCAATAGGGAAAGTAACCCCTCAGTTGCAAAGGCTGGTTTACGGTGCCAGACTTGACAGGTTTTCTAGTCAGCAGAAAAAATATTAAAACCAAAAGGATCTGTCACTTGTGGTAAGTTTTAAGGACTGTTTTGGTTCAGTAAATGACTGCATAATGATAGAAGCAAGATGATGAGTAAAGAGCATTGCAGGTTTAGGTGACACGTTGCAGTTTGGTGCCCAAATGCAGACGGATGCCAGGAGGCATTACAGAAGTGTCGGTGTGCACCGGACCCCTATCCAGCAGCGTGGCTCCCTGGCTGGACTGATGTACCCAACACACGTACCCAACACACGCCTACAGCACCAGGAGCTGCTCTGGGGCACGGATGCGTACCAGGTTTTGTCGTGGTTTAACCCCAGCCGGCAGCTAAGCACCACACAGCCACTTGCTCGCTCCCCCTTCCCCAGTGGGAATTCCCAGAGAGAATTGGAAGAGTAAAAGAGCAAATACTTATGGGTTGAGATAAGAACAGTTTAATAATTGGAATGCAATAATAATAATATAATATAATAATAATATAATAATAATAATGATGTAATTAAAAGGAAAATAACAAAAAGAGAGAGAAATAAACCCCAAGACAGGCAAGTGATGCAAATGAAAAACAATTGCTCACCGTCTGCTGATTGATGCCCATCCCATCCCCAAGCAGCAACCACTGTCTCCCGGCTAACTCCTCCCCCAGTTTCTATACCGAGCATGATGCCGTATGGTATGGAATACCCTGCCATATGGCATGGAATAGCCCTTAGGCTATTCAGGGTCAGCTGCCCTGGCTGTGCCCCCTCCCAATTTCTTGTGCACCCCCAGCCTTCTCAGTTGGCAGAACACGAGAAGCTGAAAAGTCCTTGACTTAGTGCAAGCCCTGCTCAGCAACAACTCAAACATGGGTGCGTTATCAGCACAGCACAAGCCAGCGCAGCAGGCTGCGAGCAGGGATGCTCGCATTTGTTATGGTTGGAGCACTGGTGTTACCTCCCTCAAAATATGTGGCTGTGTGGGTTTATTTTAGAATAGCCAAGTACATGGGAGGGCTTACGTTTCTGCTTTCTTATATATAAATAAAACACAGAAATATATCCCAGCACCACAACAGCCAGCCACATGCAGTGAGCCAGCAGACAACAGCCCTGGCTGTACCCAAAGAGACCGGGCTTGGTTTAATTTCTAATGTAACTCTGCTAAACTGGGGACTCCCCACTTCTTCCTATTGTAACTCACGGTGCTGTAGGTTGCCCAAAGATGCATATGGAGAGGCTGGTTTATTGCAAGCATTTCTTCAGCACCAACCTGTAACTTGTATTCTCACGTATCAGCTGCTTCATCTCAGTCTGCTTTGGCTTTTGGCAACGAAGTTTAAGGAGGTTAAAGTAAAACCTCTCAAAGATTGAGAAGGGAAAAGCTGTTTGTATTTTGGAAAGCAAGGGATTTAAGGAGCAGTTGCACAGTCCAGGGCACAGGCAGTGAGAAAGTGAAGTGCTGGTCGAGGATGTCTTGGTTCAGACTGGTCTCACCCCACTGGGATGCTTGTAGCTGATGGGGGTCCTGCGCACAGCAGCTGGGCACTTCTACCCAGAGCAGCTTTTTATCTTCCATCGAAGCGAAACCTGGTGTCTCCGTGACCACTAGCTAATGCAGAAATTCTAGTGCAAAGGAGAAAACCAGCACGGCTAGAGATGGGCGGCCACGCAAGTAATGCACAGCAGAATGCAGTGGGTTTGCACCCACCGTGGGCCGTGCTGGCTGCACTGTGCCGGCGCCTGCTGCGGCGATGGAGGCATGCAAGGAAAGGCTGAGCGTGACCCAAATGCAGGGCTTGTGTGTGTCCCCATCGTAAAACTCATAACAAGGATGATGCAATTTACCACAGCCCCATTTTTCACAGTCTTTTATCAGAATCATTTAGAAACACTAGCAGAGCCTGGTGAAGCAGCAGTGTGATGACTGAACTCACGCTCACCTCTAAGCAGCCTGGGAAATACTAACCACAAACTTGAAGTGAATATATCCAAAGCCACAGGGTTTTTTCTTTTTTTTTCTTCTTTTCTATTTTTTTTTTTTTTAGTTCATCAGCCATGATAACTTTATAAAGGCATTTGTAATACTGCAGAAAAGAAGAACTGAAAATTCCAGAGGTGCATTTTATGCAGTATGAAATATGGTCTTCCCCAGTTTCATATCTTAAATTTGTCTTTTGCTGTATTCCAGTATAATATCCAGCTTGAAGGGAGCAGTATAATGGCATATATGAACAAGTATGTTACAAAGGAGAAACGAATCCTGCCAACATCTTTAAGGAAATTTGAATTTGAAATCTGAACTAAAATAGGTACCTTTGAAGATTTTTTCACCCCAAAACCTGTTTTCTTTAAACTCCCATTTAATACCCTTAATTTAATTTTCAGTGCAGCAGATGTTACTTACCAAATATTTTCTGAATAATATCTGATTATTGTACAGGACTATATTTTACACTGAGAAATCTATGTGGAGTTGCACAGTTAGTTAAGCGAGGACCCAATGCCTGGTGTGAGATAAAGCCGGTCCCTGTTTCAAGCCTCCTTCAAGAAGTCTGACGACCCCAGAATATGAGATTATTAAGGTACAAGATGCACATTCGTTCTGCCACACACCCACGTGCCTGTGGGAATATAAAGTCTACATTTCTAATACATTCAAAAGCCCAATTTCTAATGAACCAGGTGGTTCCAGGAGGGCAAAGAGCCCTCCTGAAGAGAGGGGTTGAAATGAGATGAATTAGTTCAGCCTTTATTTTGTGTTAGACAGAGGAAGCCCTTGCTGGGGGCCCCTGCTTTTGAGTGCTTGGCCACTGAAATCCGGAGATGGTCTGATAATGATCTTGGTAGGGTCGGAGTCTGAACATCAGTGAAGATAAATCAAGTAACAGACGTGTGAGCAAGGTCAAAACCTTCGACAGCGAGACGATGCACGGTGGAAACTGTTCTCCATCCCCATTACAACACAGCTGACTGCCGAGGTGGTTGGCTGGTTCCATGGAAATGAGCCCACTTCTCTGGAAGTGACCTAAAAATACACCCCTGGCACACCAGTGTTCCCAAGGCTCTTACAGAGAGCAGACCTGGGCCATGTTCTGGCTGCAGAATGCACAAGAAATGCCAAAATTAAGATCTTAATCTTTACTGACTGCAAAGCATGTGGCTGTGAACCTGAATTCAGACTCAGGACTAACTTGAGTGTCTTTCTTCCACCTTTCCCAGCGGTGTCCCCTTGCCACGTTAGACACCCAACAGCCGCCGGATGGCCAGAGCTTTCCTGTGGTCGTCACCCAGCTGCCAGTTGGGAGCACTGGAGCTGCTGGGTGTGCAGACCATCCATCAACCGCTGCTCCACTAGGAACCTCCTCCGCAGCCCCACGTCCATGGGGAACGTTTCCCAGCTTTGGCTTCACCCCATGCCTCTTCTGGGTATAAACCACGTATCAAGCGCTGTAAGGAAAGGGACAATGTTAACAGAGTAAATATTACTGTATTTCTACATCAGTTGATAAAAAGTATTCCTTCTTTGCCAAGGTGTGTATTCATTTCTTCACATGCTGATATCGTTCTCCCTGCGAGTGTTGTGTGTGTATATACATATGTTTTTACAACACTGGCATCAAGACAGCTGACAGCATGTTATCTGTGGTATATTTTGTAAAGCTCTTCTTCAAACACCATCACTGAAGCAGCTGCCGGCGGGTCTGGCTACACCCTGCCAACCACCTCCCATCTCACAACCTTATTCTGGCTGTATTCCCTTACGGGGGAGAACACCATTGTCTTCCTCACGCTAGAAACCATCCCACGTGAGGTGGACAGCACGGTCTGCCCTGCAGAAGGCTTCGGCATAGCAAGATGTGAAGATGGAGAACTGCATTTTTCTAATGCTGAAGTCATTTCCAAGACAAAAATTCTCTCCTTGCAGTCCAACTGGAAGATGAAAACTTAGATCAGGGAGCCTAAAATTTTTGTAGTCCTCCACCCACAGCTGCAGGAGTCCTTGGCACAGTGTCTGCTTCCCAGAAGTTTGTCCCTTCCAGCCTACCCAGCTCACTACAAAACATAATGTCCCATTTTCCTCACCTCCTGCACTGTCTTAAGGTCCTTTAACTGTCTAAGATCTGCTTTCCCCAAGACCTGAGATAATGTTTAAACGCCTGGACTGGACACACCTCACACGCCATCCAGCTTGTAACAAGAACCAGCTGGCGGTGTCCGACCACGCTGGGACTCGCAGGCTTCCCAGCGCCTCGTCCCGTGTAAAGGCTTGGAGCACCACAAAGTGACTAATGCAGGGCTTGCTGCTGGCCAGAAACAGAGCGGGGAGGTATCTGAAGCTCTAGAGTTTACGGCTATCTAAGCAAGAAAACTCAAGCAAGTTGTGTATAATGGGAAATATGAACCAAGCCGGGGAGTTCCGTGCCGCTGAAGATCCAAGAGACAGCTCTGGCACGGGGATAAGCTCCAGCCTCTGGCTGATTATTTCCCAGATACACTACTTAACAGGGTGCAGCACCCAGGCATGCTTTGAAATAGAAGTGAGGGCCAGGGTGTCAGAGATAAAGGCACAGAGACGGTGCCTCCCAAACCCTGAGTCCCATCCCAGGAGCTGCATCGCCCAGCAGCAACGCACCCTGGCCTCCATCTGCACAACAGCTCCCACGGTTTCGTGCAGTTCCACCTCAGGACCTCCCTTCCTCAGCCTCCTTGGAGCCTGCAGCAGCTTTTTCAAGTCACCTCTTGTTTCTCCGGCTCATACCTTTCCCACAAGCTGCTTCCCCTCACGGAGCACAGCACGGCATGCAGGGCTCCGCTTCGATGTGCGGATCCACCACCGAAGCTTGAAGTTCCCCTACCAGCGCCCTGCGAGCAAGGAGGCTGTAATTACCCTGGACGAGGATGGCGAGGTACGGCAATGCAAAGGGATGGAGTGACTTGCTTGAAAGCCGCATGGGGTGTCGGGCTGGGGCAGGAGCGGAGCAGACGCAGCGTCTCCCAATGCTCGGGCTGCGCACTGCGAGTTTCTGCTCTTTGCCCTTCATCCCCAAGCCAGAAACGAACCGCGCAGCCAGGAGATGATAAAGCTCCACTGGGGAAACCCACCGTGCCCAGGAATGCAGACCTACCATGGGAAAATACAAAAGAAATGGTCCCTCCTGAGCAATAATTCACTTTTTCTCCCCAAACAAACAGATGTAAGTTATTGCTGGAATGAGTCTGTCCCCGAAGAAGGAGGCACTGAAAAATGGCTCAGAAAAAGGACAGCGCTTGCAGAGGAAAAAGAGCAGATACAAGAGGAATTTTCACTTTGTTTCCCGAAGGGAAAAAACCTCCAAATGATACCTGGCTTTCTTCAGCAGAAAACAGAAAAACTTTGTCTGCAAAGTGTAGAAAAAGTTGTTCGGATGAGAAGAGGGAGGAAGCAGTGCAGGGGAGAAAAAAAGAGAGCAAAGCAACTTTCCATAAATCACCAAAAAATGGACAATTTCTGTGGGAAGCAGGTAATTTATACAAATATTTTTGTTTGCTTTCAACCCCTTTAATCCCTCATATTTTTAAATCAAATGCAAGATGAAAAATTTCACAGGAAGTTTTCTCTGCTCCAAAAAAAAATCACAAACTAAGATTTTTCTCTTTGTTAATGAAGAAGGTTATGCAGTACGCTGCATAGGAGAAGGAACTTTGGGAAGGTTACAGGGAAATATTAGCCCCTCCATCAGGGCCAGCGGGACAGAGAACACAGCAATCCAATCAGATGTCATTTTTGGAAAGCCCCACATCACACACACTATATTCGATTAGAAAAGCAGAGATCATCACCCAAGAATGACCTTTAATTAAAACAGAAGTAGGAAGTTCTTTGCTTCAGGAGCCAAAATGTTCAAAGACTGGAGCATTTTGGGGTTGTGTAGTCTGGAGAAGAGGGGGCTGAGGGGAGACCTTATCACTCCCTACAACTGCCTGGCAGGAGGCTGTAGCGAGGTGGGGGTCGGCCTCTTCTCCCTGGTAATGGGCAATGGGATGAGGGGAAATGGTCTGAAGTTGTGTCAGGGGAGGTTTAGGTTGGACATTAGGAAAAATTGCTCCACAGAAAGGGTTGTCAGGCTCTGGAATGGAGGTATTTAAAAGAAGGGTAGACAAGGTGCTTTGGGACAGGGTTTAGTGGTGGGATGGCAGGGTTAGGTTAACGGTTGGACTTGATGATCTTAAAGGTCTTTTCCAACCACATTCCATTATGAGATCATAGAATCATAGAATTGGTTAGGTTGGAAAAGACCTTTTAAGACCATCCAGTCCTTCCTGCAGGCAGGAGTAAATGGCCATATAGGGGACTCCTGACATAGCTCTTCGTCAAGCTAATGGTGGACTCCAGGATCTTGTTGCCAACCAGCAGAAAACAAACACGCTTTATTGTGAAATGAGCCAGAAGCACTCGCACAGGAAGGGAAGACCTAATCTCTTGGTGGTTTGGATCTACCACTGGCATTGTCCAAGCTCAGGACCAAATCTGAACTTTCCCTTTTGAGCTCGTGATGCATGCACCATCTCCATGTGAGCAGGCAGGGTAAGGCTGGAGCCATGGCTCACGTAGGAAGCAGAAGTAGGGAAGAGCCTGACATTTAATGGCAGAAGCCACCATCGCCTGCACAGCATCTGCAGAGGGAGGTCTTGGCCTCAAAACAACCCCTCCTAATACAATCATCAAACAGCTCTGTGCCACATCAGATGGACTAATCTGCATGATCACAAGGTCAGATTAATCAAATCAAATCTTGAAAAAGAAGATAAATCTCTATTCTTCTGAGACTGCTTGCTGACTGAATAAACCATTCTGGATAAAAATGAGATGGGCCCGACACTGTCCTATTTTTTTCTCATGTAAGTGAGAATTAATTTAAGTGGTGTAATTAAGATTACATCAGCATTGAGTAAAAAATAACATCAGAATGCAAAAGTCTGTCCTTATTTCATAACAAATACTGCGACAATGGATGGTCCCTTGAAAATACCCCTTATTTGTGAGGAATTTCTAAATTCTGTTGTATGGAGCCATGGAGCTCAGCACTAGCATGATGAAAAACTCATACTTTGAAGAACAGCTGTATGAAGTAGAGGAAACATGCTGTCGAGGTATGAATATAAAACTGAACAAATAAATCAATAGACTTAAAATAAAAATTAAATATTACAGCCATAAGTCACCTCAAGTCCTCATGTCCTGTTATCCTGCATGTTAAAAAAACAAATATAATTTTTCTGTTGCTCAGCAATGTCTGCTGATGCAGGGGTTTTTAGCACATGCACAGAACTTGATTTAAAGTGTTTTATTTGGTGGAGGGAAAGCCCAGTTTCATACCTGCATCCTCTCCAGCACATGGGATCACTGACGCGATGGGGCAGACAGACCAGCTCCTTATTGGCAGACAGACACTATTTGAGAAGGTCCGTGTGGCTGCGTGTGCATCTCCCAAAACTCATTGATTAGAGTCTGATGTCTTGAACCAAAGTCCTGGTGAGCCACCAAAACCATGAAAGCTTCAGGAACTGGTTCCAGCTTTGGCCGCTCCCTGTGACACCAGCTGAGCAGATCAGCCCCCAGCTTCACCCGTGGCCCCTTCCCATGGCAGGTTTCTAAAGTTTGAAATTCAGTCTGTAAAATCACTGGAAATTGTGCAAAGTAGCTCCTCTCCTTTGTTTCCAGCATTTTCACTCTCTGGAAGAGAATGTAAATAACGAGGAGTAAGTCAGATTGTTCCAGTCCTCCAAAACCTTTGTATTGGGTATGTATTTCAGCTTTTTTCTTTAATAGACGAGAAGGCACTGCTCAATGGCATCTTGCCAACAGTCAGCTGGACATTCCTCCTCTAATGCAAAACATACCCTCTGAATGATGCAAAATTCCTTGAACAACATTAATAAGCAACAAACATTAATAAGCAACAACCATCAGGTAGAACAACACTGAAAAAATAAAAGAACAAACTCTTGCAAAGCTCCAGTCAGTGATGTTGGGATAATGATTTCAACAAGTGGCTTAAAAAGGCAAGCCCTTTCCTAACATGTCTTTTCTTAACAGTATGTCCCATGCAGCTGCAGCCGGGTGCATCCATCACCCGCTTAAACATGGTCTTTAAATCCAAAGTGACAGTACCATGTTCAGGCCCCTTTCATACATATCTTCCACGCATGAACGCTGAGGTCCTACGGCACATGTGCGTTCCTTGGTTTCCTCATCCCAGCTCCTCTTCCTGTTGTCCTCTACATCAGAACTACCCATATTCCTATTTCATAAATTATTTACCCATACAAAATGTTTAGGGATGAAAGCCAGTATGCCTGTCATTGAAAGGACGGCCGCCAAGCCTTTGAGCTGTATTACCTGTAAAGATGGCTCACAACAGCGGATGGGCTTTCCTCAGTCACAGGGTAAACAGTTTCAAAGGGTTTTGTTGGGGCTTTGGGGGTTTTTTTTGCTGGTTGGAGTAGTTACCCTGCCAGTAACAAAAGGCACAGCCGCTAAAGAGAAGGGTGGAAATACCTGGTGTAAACTTCAGCATGAGCCCTTGGAGAAGCTTGGTCACTCCTCAGCCACCTCCGTTCAGCCGGGATTGACTCATACATCGCCCTGGGAAGCAGCGGCATTTGTACCCTGTATTTACAGGGCTTCAGGCCATGTTTAGGCTGAATTTCCCCGTACAATAGTGGCAGTTGGTGGGAGTCCTACTTGTTTATGTAGCTAACGGAAAGTCGTATAAATTGGCATAGATCTCATGGCGTCCGTCACCTGCACCTCGAACCCAGCCAAACACCACTTACTGGCAATAACAAGCATATGGACATACAGGGATCGCTCCGTTACATCACGAACCAAGAGGAAATCAAATACTTTAATGTGCAGAGCATCACTTGTCTCAAATAACTAAAACAAATGTTGAAATCTGAGTTGTTTGGAACTTTCCCATGATAGCGCTTTTGTCTCAGAAAACATGATTTAGGTCAAAAGGGAATTTCCCACAAGAACATTTGAATTTTTGCTTAAATCACCCCATATAAATATAAAATCAAAATAAAATATTTCAGTTGTGTTTATTTAAAAAAAAAACCAACCACAAAAACCAGCTGTCTTGTTGAAATGAGCTGAGATATTTAATTTTTGCCCAGCCTGACTATGACCTGTGTCCACCTGAGCTACCATTGAGCCATGAAGTTTCTAAGCAATTTTTGCACCTCCTGACCCCACTTCCATGGTCAGAGCCCTTAACCAGACTACATTGCTCATAACACAATCTATTTAACCTTTAATTAAATCTTGGTGCTACCCCATGGATGTTCATGACCGTTGCCAGTGGATGAAACCCTGCTTCCCGATGCACCCTGCCCTGTTTTGGCAGTCAGGAACACCAAACACCACAGTGGGTGACTGTCCCCGGAGTGGAGCTTGGTGGGGACCCATCTCATGGTATATTTGGAATGGGGTGACTGAAAAACCTGAAAATCTGGATTTTCAGCTTCCTAACTTATAATTTTTTTTATCTCCATTAACATGGAGTAGCACACTCACAAGATAAGAAGAAAGAGTTGAGACCAACAGTTACATAATACAGCTAATATTAATAAGTTGAGTCACAGCAGTTACGTCAAAATTTCCTGTGAAGGCTGTGCTTCATTTGTTTATGTTTTTTTTTCAAAGTTCATGCAAATACCTTTTGAGCCCATCTAAAACCAAGCCAACAAATGCAAGTTGACCTTAAAACGTGCAAGATGCTAAACCAGGTGAATTACTCAAGCCCTTGCCATGAGATGTGGCACCATCATCCTCCTGTCACCCCCTGCTCCTCACGCTTCTGCAGAAGCCGCAGCTCTCACGATGCAGCCCAGTTTTTGCAGCTATTTTCAGCACCGCCGCTGTACAGCGGCCAAGTTCACAGATGTATTTGTGTGATTTTTCGTAACTTCCTCCAAGTAGGTCTTTTTTTTCCATACTAAGCCCAACATTTCTACTCTTCCTAGGTCAACAAGAAGGCATCTTGCCTTGGCATCGCGCCTATCTGCCCGGCCCAGTCGCCGCATTTCTTATGACGTGCCAGCTCCAGGGCGGGTGGTGAAGGCTGGGAGCGGGGGGACCCAGCTTATTTACTAAAAGCCCATCAGAAGCTATCTCTGTAGAGCAGACTCAGCCTCTCCAGAGCTAAAAGGGCAAGGATTTGGGTGCCTCCCCATGGGAAGACAGTTCCCAGGCAGCTTCCCAATGGGTACACATGTTGGGGACTGAAGGTGATGCTGTTTTTCTTCCATTTTTATGACGGTTGTTGGGCCTGTGCTGGGTTCCCTGTCCTGCTGGGAACGTCACTGAGTGCCTGGTATGTGCCAAGGCTCTGAGCTATTGCCCCGCTTGAAAGCAGAGGGGAAGGCGAAGGAAGTGACACCAGCGAGGTGTTAGTGCACAAGCACTGTGAGCAGACACACATCCCTGCTGTTGGACATCCTGCAAAGCACAGACAGCTCCAACTGCCCTACAGATCTCCAACTTGAACCCATGGTACACAAGGTCCATGCAAGAGTCTTGGATGTACATGCAACAGCCTGGAGTTGTGCCAGGGGAGGTTTAAATTGGATATTAGGAAAAATTCCTTCCCCGAAAGGGTTCTCAAGCATTGGAATGGGCTGCCCAGGGCAGTGGTGGAGCCCCCATCCCTGGAAGTATTTAAAAGACAGGCAGATGAGGTGCTTAGGGACAGGGTTTAGTGGCAGACTTGGCAGTGCTGGGGTAACGGTTGAACTCGATCTCAAAGGTCTTTTCCAACCTAAACGATTCTATAATTCTATGATCAAGCAAGTGCTGACATCACTCTTGCACATGCCAATTTACTACAGCAGAGCACTGACCTCTAATTCTCTGCTCTTGTGCATTAATAAAAGGCTAAGGGTAGGTTTGGAGCAGGTTGGAGGTGCACAGCCCTGCTGGGAGCACTGCAGCTGAACTCAGGCTCTGAAACCAGCCCCGGTTCCTCTCGGCCATGGCCAAGGAGCCGCTCCCGGGGTGGTTCCCACATGCTAATTCACCCCATGGGGTCCAGAGCTGCCCTGAGCTCCAGCCGGCGCTGCAGCTCCCCACCCTGGAGAACTCACCATGCAGTTAAAGTTCAGAGGGTATTAATAAAACATAGAAGGGTGAGGGTGGAAGGCGAGCATCCTTGTGGGATGGAAGCAACCAGGCTGAAATGCTCAGAGCATCAACCATGAGCTGACATTTGACGTACTCCAGTGTTTTTCTTCCCTTTTTCAATTGCTGCTTTGATTCTTTGACTTTTTTTTTTTTTGACATGCAAATGTTAACTTCAAGCTCTTCCTGTTCTCACAACAGGTGTATGCAGTGAGCTTTCTCACAGCAAAATTGCCCAAAAGCTTTAAAACCTGAAAGACGGGGAATTGCTGAGGAGGAGAGACTGCATGTGCACCCTGCTCTGATACCTTCGGCTCTGGAAAAACACCCCGGAGGCTCCCGAACCAGCCTGGCCCAGCCAGCAGCAAACAGCCCCTTTCCAGAGATGCAGCTGAGGCATTTGCTTTTGAGGATAGACCGTGACAGCCTAATTCTCAGCTTCACTCACAACACTCGCTTCCTCATCCATGCAAACCACTTCGCCAGCTGCAAAAATATCTGCTCTTCTTGGACTTACACCACTCGGCCACCAAGCCCCCACAAAAACCAGAGTTTTCCAGTTCAATGACACCAAAACCAGTGCGCAACTCCGGTCTCAGCCTCAGCACCTCCGGACTGCTGTAACCCCCCGCACCTCCCCGCATGAACAATCCCACCCGCGCATCCTTCCTGCGCAAACAAAGCATCTGTGAAATTATCCGGGTATGAACACCACAGTCAAAAATTCATTGCGATGCTACTGGAAATGCAGTGTGGTTACCCTGCCACCAAAAAATAAATGAACAAAAAGTTGAAATGTGGATATTGGTGTCATGGCTTGCGCAGCCTGCAATACTTGGGGTAGTTGGTAGATGGATCAAAAAGCTCAAGAATCGCCAGCCTGGCAACAGCCCTGCAGACCTGGGGTACCCAGGCTTTACTTCCAGCTTCCTAAGAGATGTGCTGGGCAAAGCTTTGGTGGTCCCTGACGATGCCCTTCCAGCTCTAGGTGCCTCAATCTCACTATTCAGTTGTACTATTGAATTTTGGGCTCAGCGCTGGGTGAACTCCCCGCTGTCCCCAGGCAGCACCCACCAGCAAGTGCCAAAGGCAGGGCAGGGCTGCTGGAGGGACGGGGCATGGCCAGCAGCTATTCCAGCCCCGAGAAATAGCTGAGTCAGCCTTGCACATGATAAACCATTGACTCATATTTTCGGTTTCTTTTGTTTCTAATTAAAATGCACCGGTTGCAAATTCATGTGATGCCGCCCTCTCCCACGAAACCCTCCAGATGGATTTGCATCATTTGGAGTAAAACCCACCCCCCTCCATAATTACCTAATTAACTTAAAATGTTCATTGCAGAATGTCTCGATAGCAATTCCTACGGTCACGTTTTCTAAGAGTCCAGATAGCCAGCGAGGACACAGATGTTGATGAGGATGAGCTAAAGCCATTGCTTGTGGCTCTGGCAGACAGAGCACCCCGCGAGCCGGGAGACCTCAGCCCTGCAGTTCAGAAGGCGCAGAAGAAAGCAAGAGGCAATTCAAAAGCAATTACATGAGACCAATTAATCAGAAATGGGAAATGGCGCGCACCGAGGGAGTTAACCACAGGAACATGCCTTCAGCGCTACCCGCCAGGATTACAAACGTCAGCAGGCGAGTTGGAAACCAGGCACGTTGCTGGAAGTCTCCACCAGCCTCGTGGCGTTTGCTCCTTTACCTGTAGTATCCCCTGGATGATGTCCTGTGCAACTTGCTCTGGGTGAGCCTGCTTTAGCAGGGGGGTGGACTAGATGATCTCCCGAGGTCCCTTCCAACCCTTGCCATTCGGTGATCGATTCTGTGTGACACTTTCCCATATGGGCCTGCTCCAACACACATACATAAGCTTTCCTGCTTCCCTGGCAGGTTTGTTTCTATTTTTCAAAGCTTACAATCCCTGCATGTGCCAACGCGGATGAAACCCCTACCCAAGCGTTTCCCATGCCTCCTCCGATGCGCTCAGCATCAGCTCCTGTTAGAAATTTCCAGCAGATCCCAGAAGTTGCCCAAGTACTTGCCACTTATGCAGGCTACGGGAGACGATGGGCAACAGCTCATTATGTGAGGCTGCTTGACGAGCTGTCAGCGGTGCCTATCTGGGGGTGCATGTCTATGTCTGTACGCCCAAAAGCTTCCAGCTCCCATTTTTCCCTGCCTGAGCATTTATTTTCAACTGTCTGTGGATCTCTGTAGGAATACCGTTTCATCTCAGGAACACTCGAAAATCTAATTATCACCTTAATTAAGCCTTGATTCATTCTAGCAATTAAATTAAAACAACAAAGCAAAACCAAGAGTATGGAAAAACCTAGGCTGCCTGACCACCTAGCTAAGTAACTCCAATAATTTCATTCACCTCAATCATGTGAATCAACAACATAACGAAGGCTATCGGGGGAAACGCTCTGCATCAACAGGAAGCGCGATGCAACGCTTCAAGCAGAAGATTAAGATCGTTCAGGAAACCTGCCACTATTTGCTTTTCCTCTCTATTCTGTACTTTCATCATCTATAAAAGAGGAATACTGACATTTTCCCTAGCCTACAGATGCATACTGAAACACTTCATTAATGTTTATGGGGCAACTGGAGAGGTTCAGATGAAAAAGATAGGAAACAACAAAAGGTTGCGAGCGATTCCGAAGAGCCGGTGCCCTGGTAAGCGCCAAGGTGCAGGGTGGGCGTGGGTTGCAGGATTCCTCTGCAGGCAATGCAGAGGCTGCGGCGGGTGCAAAATAAGCACCCGGCTTGGTGGTGGTGGGGGGGAAGTGTTCTGGACACAAATGAGATGGCTAAGTACCTCGGAAAGTGTCCCAACGGGATATTCCTTTTCAAACTTACTGTGTTGCAATGCTGTTAGAGATCCGTAATGGGAAGGCTTTATTTCCCCCTCACTGCCTAGAAGTCAGATTTATTTGGGTCATTTCTTCCTATTGCTGGAGACTGGGAGAGGAGAAGATGCTCCACATGGCAGCTGGAAGGGTAATTACAGGTTTAAAATAGTAAGAGTAAAATAAAACAAAATTATATGAATAAGTCTAGGAAATACTGTCTGTAACACAACTCCAAAACCAAAGTGCTAGCTGGATTTGTTAAATAGTCATAATTAAATCAAATATATCTCCATTACCAATTTATTATGCTGTAGAGCAGGATTAATTTAACAAGATGGTTCACGTTTTCTGTGAGTGCATTTTGTAATACCTGGATATCAGGGCAGTTCTCTGTGTACATAGTGCAGTGGTCAAAATTACGACTGCTATTAGGCTGCAATTAATTGGGAACAAAGCACTCTGCCCACTTCATTGTATAAGCACGAGGGTGAGCCAAAACTTTTCTGTCAATCTGCACTTTTTTAGCAGAAAATTGAGTTTTTTGACAACACAGTTTGCTTGCAGCCATTATTTGCTTTCCAAGGAAGTTCCCTCAGTGACAAGCAATGTTTTTAATTTTCAGTGGGTTAAATGCTGTCACAGCTTCCTGTGAGAGAATTAAAATAGTTTTGTTTTGCCAGTTTTCTGGCAAATGGGTACGTGCTTGTAGCCCACTTTGGGCTTAGCTGCTTTCTTTATCCAGACCAGCCTGGAACAGCCTCCACCAGCCTGTTTGCCTCCCAGCTCCACGTGCCTCTGCTGCTTTGCCCGGATTTACGGGAAGCAATATTCTACACCCTGATGACTCAAGGTTCATGCAGCGCATTATAACTTCTTTATGGCATGCTGACTTTTTACCTGGCTCCAGCACTACCCACCCTGACAGGTTTAAAGCGACCGTGGAAGCTCCCTTGCCACAGTAAACCCTGATCATCACAGTTGGGTCTGTTCCTTCAAATCACATGATTTACTCCCAGGATGTCTAATCCCTGGCTAATTCAGCCGCTCCCATCCCTGGCCAGGCTTCCACAGCAGAGCCAGTGTGACTGTGGCAGTGTGGGGCTCTGTGGACACGAGCCCCTCCAGCCCACCCGCATGCACAGAGTTATTTCTCATTGACTTATTGCCATGTTTCCGTACCTTCCACTGAAGCTGTACAGGATTTGATTACGCAGTTCGACAGCAATAATGACCAGGTCATGGGAGCAGGAATCAATGACCCAGCAGTGGTGACCCCAGGTCCATCACCTCGCCTGCCTCCTGCCAGCTCTCCGTGCCTTTACACTTGATTTGCTGATCAGCCACAAACCAACAGAATACTGCTTCATCCTTTTTTTTTTCTTTTTTCCCCCCTTTTTTCTTCTTTCCTTACCAGGGTGTTTTTCCAAGATCATAACTGCAACAAAGGAGAGTTTCTGATGGCCCCAGTCATCAGGGCTGTCTCTGTGTTGCAATCCAATCTGTTTCTCAGAAACAGCAGCTCCACGAGGAAACCAGACGCGTTCACAAACATGTGTCCAAATCAAACATGTCAACATTACAAGCCCTAGCAAACAGAAAACTCACTTGGAAGCTACAATCCCTCCTGCTCGAGGCCATAATACAGTCACGTTCTTGGGTTCACCCTCACTGGGCTCAAAATAGCCCGAAAGTGCCCAGCTGACTGCAGCCGATGCCAGCGCCCACCCCACACCAGCAACACCAGCCTGGCTCCCGCTGTGGGGCCGTATGGCACACTGGGAAGGCAAAACCCATCCCGGGGCATGCGCAGGGCCAGGAACACAGCGGTAGGGTCTGTGAGGTCAGCCAGCCTCCCGGTCAGGTGCCTTTATAAGGCAGTCTGGCTGGCAAGCCTGGCTCCGCTTCTCCAGCTGCCTCCCTTGGGATGGAGACCTGGATGCTCCAGTCCAGCCCAAATGCCCTCTAATGGAAAGGAGGGCATGAGGAGAAGGGGGACAGGGCAATGCTATCCACCACCACCTTGGCGTGAAGGAGACCCAAGACCCGGACTCCTGCAGCCCAGAGCGTACAGCGAGCAGCAGCTACAGGCATGAGTCCCAGTCTGAAAGCTTATCCATATTCCAGCCATATGACTTCAATAAATAATGAAAAACTGTTAGCCACCAGGGAGATTTTTGGTTTCTTTTTCCCATCATGATTTCCAAGGCAAAAGAACAGGCATTGTCAAGCAGGTTTGCTGACTATAATAGAGAAAAGTCATACTATTGAACACTCCTACAGGCTTCCTTTGTCCCTTGCTGTGTGTGTGCTCTGGGTTCTACACAAAAGAGAACAGGCAAGATAAATTAGGGGGGAAGAGGTACTTCAACAAACAGATAAGACCTTTTTTTTTTTTTTTTCCTAGAACTGTCTCGATTCTGTTCATACTGACCAGGAGACAGCGTCCTCCATTCTTCTCCAACGTCCCAAACAAAACCCGAGCTAGCGACATGATTCCCATAATCAAGGTCACAGGCCTGGTTTTGCTGGAGCGTGCAGCTGAACGTCATACCCAGGGCGGAACTCAAAAATTCATTTAAAAACAGACTAAGTATCAAAACCTTAAATAATTTGCTTAACAGGCGGAAAAGCACTTTAGGGAATGCTTCTCTCTCAGAAGAAAGGAGGGAAGTTGGAAAGCTCGTGGATTCTCTTGAGTGCTTCATCTAGAGGAAGCTGCAGGGGAAGCTGTGATGCTGCTGAAGGCAACGGCAAAGCTCCTCTCTGAGTGAAACTGGGATTTTGCCCTATCTCCTCTGGGCTACACCCAACTAGGAAGGAGGTTAGTTCAAAGAGGGAAAGGATGGCTCATTGCTCAAACCCATCTGCAAAGAAAAACAAACAAACAAACAAAAAAAAAAAGTCACTTTTCAGGTGAGAAACTCACCTGGGGCATCAGTGCCTTAAAATAGAAGCTGTGACTCCGCCACCACAAACAGCGGCCGCTCCCTGCGCACGCTGCATGGGAGGGATGCATGCCACGGCATACGGGCAATTTGTCTCTAAACAAGGAAACCAGTGTGAGAGGAGGACTTGCAGGCTGGGTTGTTGACACACGAGAAGCTGCTTTGGCCCATAAGTCAATAGTTTGCTTGATCCAGAAGAAAACAAACTGGATTTGAACCGAGCAGTCCTGGTGAGAAGGCTCGGCAGCTCGGCTGGGACAGCTCGGGGCACGGATGGGAGGGAAGCACGGTGCCGGGGGGTTTGCACTGTGGTCCCCTGGAAAACAGGTGAGCAGGGGACTGGACCACGCTGTCAGGCGTGCCAGCGGGAGGGGGCTGCCCGGGGCTGGCAGGAGCGCTCGGGGAGGAGAGAGGGGAATGGCTTTTCTGCAGGCGATTCCAGCTTAAAGTGTTTGTGAAACACTCTGTCTTGGCACCAGGCGGAGGAGGTGGCTGGTTTTCTCAAGGTGAGCTTGCATATGTACAACCGTATAAAACGGGCAAAGCTGAACCTACTGGAGAGAGGGCAAATTCAAAGATGTGGTCTTCTGCTCCTAGACCCACGTTTGGGTGTGTAAGAGCAGTGGAATAGTCCCATGCTGAGCGCTCTGCAGAAGACCACGGAGGCACCGGCGAGGTCGTTGCCTCTGACGAGCAAGGCTGCGCTCATTTAGATGATGAGCACGCTAATGCTGACTCTCCTCTCCAAAGCGAGAGGCAAGGGACACTTGCTCTGCTCTCCCCAATAGATTTTGGTCATGAGGAGTAACAAGGGAACACAGATGATTTGAGTCACCTTCACTGATCCATCATTCAGGGGAAAAAAAAACCAAACCCAACAACTTTCTTTTCATCACTGCATGCAGCAGAAAAGTTAGTTACGCAGAAGAAAAAGGAAAGCCACAGGGAATCCCACACAAGTTTCTTACAGTGCGCTGTACCCCATCTCTTGGAACTAATAAAACCACTTACAGCTGCAGAGTATGTATTCGCACAGCGGGATATAACATAACAGCCACTGCGAGGCAACACCTCATTGGCGCTATTAGAATAGAAACATAGAATTGTTTAGGTTGGAAAAGCCCTTTAAGCTCACCAAGCCCAACCGTTCCCCTAACCCTGCCATCCCACCACTGGGATGTCCCTGTCCCTAAGCACCTCATCTATCCTTCTTTTAAATCCCTCCAGGGATGGGGACTCAACCACCTCCCTGGGCAGTCCATTCCAGTGCTTGACAACCCTTTCTGTAAAGAAATTTTTCCTGATGTCCAACCTAAACCTGCCCTGGTGCAACTTCAGACCATTCCCCCTCGTCCTATTGCCTGTTATTAGGGAGAAGGGGCCGACCCCCACCTCCCTACAGCCTCCTGTCAGGCAGTTGTAGAGGGCGATAAGGGCTCCCCTCAGCCTCCTCTTCTCCAGACTAAAATAGGCTGCACTTTACTCTCAGACCAGCTTCTGGCCCTCCATATAATCCCGACTGACGTGCCGGGGCATCCCCTAAAGCAGCCCCGGTAGCCTGTCCAGCACACTCTGTGAGACCAGCGCCTGGGTGTGTGGGCTACGTCCACCCACTGCCTGTCTGCACCCACAACGCTTTCTGCACAGCGTGAGCCAGTTTTATTTGCACTGTATATCTGGTATAAATTAAAGCTCTTGTAGAGACTGGTCTTCCAGAGCCCCTCATGTGCTGATGGACCTCCCATATTTATGCTTCTTATTGCTGGCTTCTCACACACTCCACTTTTATTAACCACAATACTCGTTCAGAGGAAGATGATGCAACGGTTGCATGGGAAGTGTCAGCTATTCTGTACAACGCTGTTTATTGTTTTTAAAAAAAAAAAAAAAAAAAAAAAAAAAAAAAAAAGAGACTTTCAAAATGGAACGGTCGCTGCCGTGTTTACG